GGCTGAGATCTACACAGGGGCCATGGCTGCACAGGAGTTACGCTGGCTCCGACTTGGGAGAGGCGTCTCGTTCTCCTCCAGTTCTGTACGTCGACAACAAGGCCATGATTGCCTTATGTCAGTAGAACAGACTAGAGCACAGAACGAAGCACATTGCTCTGCGCTACTTTCTTGCTCGAGAGTTGCAGTGGCGTGGTCAGCTTCGTCTTGTTTATGTTGCCTCTCAGGCCAACACTGCTGATATCTTCACCAAGGCACTTCAGCCTTGTGATCATCAACGTTTCTGTACTGTTCTAGGCCTTGTGCCTACTTGGCCTCACTTGCTCACTTCTTGACTTTGCTTGTACTGTGATCTATATACTTATACCTGCATGCTTATACTTGCTAGGTTGTGATCACTGTACTGCTTGTTCTTCTTATATATAACTCTGCATGTGAATTGGCCTTGTAGCCATTTGCTTGTGCTCGGACTGCGTGGTGACGTTGTGATCCACCCTGAGCTTGACCTTGCTTTGTTCTCTTGCTTGTCCCCCACTTTGCCTATGGGGGTGTGTCAGAACTATGCATTTGTATGCTCTAGGCTATAGTGGGGCACTCCTTATGGGGTACAGCCCCATTAGGTTTTGCAATACAAGCCCTGTACTGTTGTCGTTCTAGTCATTCTTCATTCCTACTTTTTGACATCTTTTCCTATCCACTACGATTCTTATTCATTACGATTTCCAGAGCAAACTCCTTATCAATTCTTATTAATTCCACTACAATTCCCGGTTAAATCAACATAAAGAACTCTGAAAATCAAGGTTGATTATGATCATTTCTCTGATTTGTCGGAGAAAACGTTTTTTTGCTAAACAATTATGGACAGTGAGTGTACCTATTTTTCCAACTCTCAATGTCCTCTCTAGTATTGAACCCACGCCTTTCGCGCCCTTATAGCGCGTGAGCTCCTTCAACGGATCGATTCTTACTGCTTGACTGGTACCTCTGGCTTCTTCAACAGGTGGCTCTTGACACGCTTTACCTCGCGTCTGGCGCTGCTTGGCGTTTTCTACATGAGATCACTCCACCTCCATTGTTACTGCTAGTTAATGAGAATGGAGTGTTGGCCCCGCCCTCGCTTGGGCGACGCCGACATCCTGGTCGGATGTACGGGAGAAGCAACCGACCATACGCAATAAGGGAGCTGGTCAACGGGCTTCGTCGAGCTGCAGGGGATCGCTGCGGTTTTGCCGTCAACTAGGGGAGCTCGACGACATTCTTCTGTGGGGCAGGTCGACGAGGTGGTCGTCGACCTGCAAAAGACTTTCGCGAGGCAGGAGCTGTCGACAGGGGAGCTCGACGGCTGCAGTTGATTGGGCTGGTCGACGGACGGGCCGTCGACCAATTGGGGCAGTTTGAAAGGTGCGGTGGTCGACGAGAGGTTCGTCGACCAGGGCGCACATTGGGTGGTCGACCAGGTCGACCAGGTAACCTGCTCGGTGAGTTCTGCGGAGGCACGCAAATGTCGTCGAGGTCGCGGTGATGAAGGCGACTTTGGGCTTGTATCCCGAAGGCGATGTGGCTTGTCAAGCGCAGACAACAGCTGATAGATGCACAATGGTGCAAGTCGAGCCAACCGTCCACGCGCACCTGCATACGTGCGCACTGCTGTCTTCTACGGGTGCAACGCTGGATAGCCGCTCTGCTGCAGCGTTGGCACGCCGTCGACCTGCTGTGTTGGCAGGCCGCATTTCTGCAGTGCTGGTGCGGCTCCTCTACGTAATGCTGGCGGGCGGCCGACCATGCTGTACTGGCGGTCAACCAGGCTAGCTGCAGAGTTGCTAGGTGCCTGATGCGACCATTATTGCCATTGTTGTACCAATCATTTGTCGAAGAGAAAGGCCCTGCCCTCACTTGGGCGCAGCCGATCTCGCCGTCAACGAGAAGTTCGCGACGGATTGGTCGACAAAATGGGTTTCTGCAGTTCGACGGAAGTTGCGACCGAGCAGGCCCTGCTCAACAGAATCTGGTCGACGAGCTCTACGCGACGAGCTCTGGTCGACGATATCTGCGCGTCGATCTCCCGTCGAAGAGCGCTGGTCGACGATCCTAGTCGAGGAACTCTGGTCGAAGAGTTCGGGTCGAGGAGCTCTGCTAGGCAAACGCTGTTCGACCGAGCGATGTCGAGCCGATCGACCAAAGTTCCAGAGTTGTGCGAAACTCTGCGGAGGCGTGCAAACTTTCGCCCAGGAGGTTTTGGTGAAGTTCTACCTGCGGAACGGCATCACGTGGTCGACGGTGCACACCTGGCGAAACTGACGACACGTTTTCTACCTGGCACCTACGCAATGTGCCTGACGGTTAAACCGCCAACCTGCACCTACTTGGTAGGTGTGCACATCTGCGCAGATAGACAACCTGCGACTGCATATAATTATCTGCGACTGCAGATAGTCACATACGACTGCAGTACTGGAAGACCGTGCGCGGTGCAACGCTGGCAGACTACTCTGCTGCAGCGTTGGCAAGCCGCTCTTCTGCTGCGCGGGCAGATTTCGCCCTTGCGAGTTGTAGCATGGCCTTCTAGTCCTTTTGTTCTGCATGCCTCAATTGTACTATCAACTTTTTATTGCAAGTTGTTCTTTCACTTCCTGAGTGGAAACTCTTGCAAACTTTCTCTGTGAACACAGTAAGTAAGAACGTTAGTACTAAGGAGATTAACAGTGAGAAAGTTTGCAAGAGTTTGCGGGAGCTAGACTGCAGGGCAGGCACGAGTTGGTAGAGTGATCGTAGCCTTGTCTTCGTTCTCTAGGACTTGTGTTTTCACACGGCAAAATAGCAAGAGTTTCACTAAGGAAATTTGAGAATACAGAGTTCAAAATGATAACAAGCAATGGCAAAGATGGACTACATCACATGCAAGGTTTGCTAGTGCTCAGGCAGGTCGACTGCCAGCGTGACAGAGTTGTCAACCTGCCAACGTAGCAAGTCTGCGGCATGCCAACGCAGCTTATGTGCGACTTGCCAACGCTGCAGATGGCGGCCTGGCAACGATGCACCCGCACAGCTTGCCAACGCAGCATCCGTGCGGCTTGCCAACATTGCATCCGCAGGCGATTGTAAGCGCATGTGCAAGCACCTACTTCGCAGGTGCTTGAAGACAGTTATGCATGACGTACACTGTCACACACATTGTGCAGGTTGTCAGCCACATGCTGACGGTTGCACATGATGAGCCACGTCGACCACATGCTGCCACGTTGGTCAACTTCGCCACAGCAGCCTCGATGACGTTTGCTTACCTTCGCGCACTCGTCGAGCAGGTAACTTGGTCAACCAGACGAAGTCCCTGACATATCTGCAGGATGATGACCTTCGTCATCACCAGTTAACGACCTTCGTCGTCGCTGCTCGACGACCTTTGTCGAGCACCTTCGTTGAGCACCTCGGTTGACATTTCAAAATGTCAGCCCCTGATTGGTCGAAATTAGGGCACATTCGAGTTTCTGGCCAAAATTCGCCTGTGCAGTCTCAAGGTTGCGCAGGGTCAGACGCTGTCAAGTTATAATATTGTGTAGGCTAGAGTGGGGTAGCCCATATGGGGTACACATTTCCAGGGTTGCATATTTGTATCACTTCATTCCTTAGTCAATTCATTCTCGTTCTACTTTCCTCATGGTATCGAGCAGGTTCCCCCGTGGGAACTGTGCCTAGGGTCCACCACATCAAGATTTTTTTTTTTTCCTGCCCGAAGCGCGATCCGCCCGAGTCGCGCTCCGGGCTCTCACCTCGTCGAGCCGCCCTAGCGGCCCCTCTCCCCTAGCGGCCCCGCCACCCGTTAGTGCGGCCCCGCCGCCCGTTAGTGCGGCCCCGCCGCCCGTTCGTGCGGCCCCGCCGCCCATTAGCGTGGCCCCGCCACCCGCATTCGCGGCCCCGCCGCCCGTTCGCGCGGCCCCGCCGCCCGCTAGCGCGGCCCCGCCGCCTGCATTTGCGGCCCCGCCGCCCTACTCTGCGGCCCCGCCGTCCTTCTACAGCGGCCCCGCCGCCCTTCTCCTGCGGCCCCGCCGCCCTACTCAGCGGCCCCGCCGCCCTTCTCCTGCGGCCCCGCCGCCCGACTCAGCGGCCCCGCCGCCCTTCTCCTGCGGCCCCGCCGCCCTACTCTTCGGCCCTGCCGCCCTACTCAGCGGCCCCGCCGCCCTACTCCGCGGCCCCGCCGCCCTGCTCCTGCGGCCCCGCCGCCCTACTCAGCGGCCCCGCCGCCCTGCTCCTGCGGCCCCGCCGCCCTACTCAGCGGCCCCGCCGCCCTACTCCGCGGCCCCACCGCCCTACTCAGCGGCCTCGCCGCCCTACTCTGCGGCCCCGCCGCCCTGCTCCTGCGGCCCCGCCGCCCTACTCACCGACCCCGCCGCACTGCTCCTGCGGCCCCGCCGCCCTACTCAGCGGCCCCGCCGCCCTACTCAGCGGCCCCGCCGCCCTACTCCGCGGCCCCGCCGCCCTACTCAGCGGCCCCGCCGCCCTACTCAGCGGCCCCGCCGCCCTGCTCCTGCGGCCCCGCCGCCCTACTCAGCGGCCCCGCCGCCCTAATCGGCGGCCCTGCCACCCTTCTCCTGCGGCCCCGCCGCTCTACCCAGCGGCCCCACCGCCCGTCTGCTGCGGCTCCGCCGCCCTTCTCAGCGGCCCCGCCGCTCTCATCTCCTGCAGCGCCGCCCGAGCCGCCCGTGCCGCCTCGCCCAACCAAGCCGCCCACCGCCGCGCCGCCCTGCAGCAGCACAACCGAGCCGCCCAGCAGCAGAGCAGCCGAGCCGCCCCGCCGCCGAGCCGCCCTGCCGCCGAGCTGCATTGCCGCCGAGCCGCCCGGCCGCCCACCAGCCGAGCCGCCGTGCAGCCGAGCCGCCCAGCAGCCGAGCCGCCGAGCTTCCCTACAGCCGAGCCGCCGGAGCAGCACTGTCCGGTGAGCACAGCCCCTTTGTCACTGCGTGCCCTTCCCCTACTGCTTGCACTGCTGGTCTATCGTTGTCATGGCTACCCCTAGTGTCCTCGCCTTTGACGCTGAGGGTCGAGCCATTGACTTTGAGGTCTGGGTCGACGACCTGCAGCTGTTCTTACAGTGCGATAGGGCGGACGGTCTCTCTCTCTTTGACCTCACCTCTAGCGCCTCTCCTGCCCCTGCTGCTGATGCTCACCCCACTGTTCGCTCCCAGTGGGCCACTCGCGACGCTGCTGCACGTCTTGCTGTGCGTCGCCACCTGCCTACCACTGAGCGCGCGCACTTTAGTCAGTACAAGAGTGCTCAGACCTTGTACGACGCTGTAGTTGCGCGCTACTCTTCCCCTGCCACTGCTGCACTGAGCCGCCTCATGCTACCGTACCTCTTCCCTGACCTTGCTGCCTTTCCCACAGTCGCTGACCTCATTATGCAACTCCGCACTAGTGACACTCGCTACCGCGCCGCGCTTCCTGCTGAGTTCTGTGCCAAGAACCCCCCCCCCATGTACATCACTCTCTATTACATAGTCACCCGCCTCCCTGACTCCCTTCGCGTAATCAGGGACCACTTCCTCTCAGTCTGTCCCACCACTCTTACTGTTGACCTCCTAGAGAAGGCCCTCCTAGCAGCGGAGAAGAGCATAGTCGCTGTAGGAGCCTCTCGTGGTGACCCTCGCACCCCCATCTTTGAGGGGTGTTCCCCTTCCCCCCTGTTGCCCTCTGTCGCCTCTGCTGCTGCGGCCGACCTACTTGGTCTTGAGTCGGTCGGTGTGGCGTCTGCCCCTAGCGGGTGGAGCTAGCGGGGGTGGTGGAGGTGGCGGTGGAGGCGGCGGAGGGAGTGGGGGTGGCGGTGGGAGTAGTGGTAGTGGTGGAGGTGGTGGTGGCGGCAGCGGAGGCGGAGGCGGCGGCGGCGGTAGCGGTGGGAGCGGAGGCGGAGGTGGTGGCGGAGGTGGAGGCGGCAGTGGCGGAGGAGGTGGAGCTGGTCGGGGTGGTGCCTTGCAGTGGAGCGGTTCTGGTGGTGGTTGACGACCATCACCGGTTGACGATCTTCGTCGTCACAGGTTGACGACCCTCGTCGTCGCTGGTCGACGACCTTTGTCGAGCACCTTCGTTGAGCACCTCGGTTGACATTTCAAAATGTCAGCCCCTGATTGGTCGAAATTAGGGCACATTCGAGTTTCTGGCCAAAATTCGCCTGTGCAGTCTCAAGGTTGCGCAGGGTCAGACGCGACCCTGCGCAGACGAACACCCGCGAACTTCTGCACCAGCTGCTCAACTTGTACATGCGCACGGGAAGTCTGTGGTTCACTGGCAGATGCTTCAATCACTCTTGCATAGATTCCCTAGTACACCTCGTGTACAGGCAACCCTTGTACACCTGCAGAAGGTCGGCTGCACCTCCCGCACACCCGACCACGAAGTCAGTTTTGCCCATGCGAGGGCGGGGCCAATTTCCTTCAACAAGTACAAACGCTCCGATCACTCACACATGTTAGAGGTGGTTAGCCGCTGCACCAACTCTAGAGCGTGAAAACAACAGAACAGGACACTTGGAAATTGCCTTACTTATGGCGGTGGGAGAGAATAGGCTAGACAATGAGTACTGACGGTGGGAGGAGCTAGCTCAGAAGATCGTGAGCAGCTGGTGAAAACGAGGGTTTCAGGAGAGAGAGAGGGAAGAACGTTCTCAACCGCCCGAATTTTTTCCAACCATTCCGGAGGCAGTGTTCGGGGGAGTTGAAGAAAGTCGGTTTCAACGACGGTTCATTTTGAATTTCGGTTTTCAACGTCAGTTACTATTACAAAATTCGGATTCGCGACGAGGCGCGTTACACGATGCGCCCTTTGAAATTCGCATTTCGGATTGCTTAACTATCATGTTCTGTTTTCCTCATTGTATCAATTTTTCATAGTGAAACTTTCTGTTTGCAACCTGGGTTGGAATGCAACATGTTTCTTTAACTTTGGGATTCAGTTTGAAGCCCTCTACTGCTGTTTTCTTTACTTCTAAGTCACGTCCTTACTACGACTAAGTCTAAGAGCTGGTTCTAGTGCGTGTTGTGTCAGAGGTCCACTGGAGATCCCCGATTGATCCTAGGAAGGGTTAGAGGCACGATGGCATGGGGGGTTATGGGCGCACTGACCCGCTACAGGAACAACCCTTTTGTCCCAATGGTCTAGTGGTTGGGATTTTGACATTGTATCAGAGCGAAGGTCTCGGGTTCGAATCCCAGTGTGCGCACTTCGGACATCCCAGTGCGGGGGGGTGTCAGAGGTCCACTGGAGATCCCCGATTGATCCTAGGAAGGGTTACAGGCACGATGGCTTGGTGGGTTATGGGCGCACTGACCCGCTACTTAACAAGCCCTTTTTTCCCAATGGTCTAGTGGTTGGGATTCTGACATGTTAATCATTCAAGAAGGGCCAAGACAAGTTCCTGCATCATGCCGAACGGGGATGGTGAGGCAAGCTCGGGTTCTTCAGTCAGTGCTGAAGTTCCCCAAGTCCAAGCCCTCTTGGAGGCCCTTGCATAAGGGCAAATGGTGGCGAGGCCAACGATTGGCCTAAGTGAGGCGCAACGCTTCAACGGCAACAATTACAGCACATGGCGACTGAAGTTTATGCGGCGGGCGAGAGAGATTGACACTTGGCACTTCTACAAAGCGGATGAGGAAACGGAGGAAGGAGTACCTCCACCTGCAACGGCAACGGCACAAGAAAAGAGGGCATACAAGAAGAAGAGCTTACAAGCCTTTTTCCAACTGTGCCACTCGGTTTTAGATTCCATCGCTGTGGGGCTGGACCTGTTTGCGGACGACATAAACTCAGCACAACGCGCACGGACATACATGGAAGCGGTGTATCTCGGACGGACGGACACAAATCTGACTGCAGTGAGAAAAAAACTGCTGCTACTCGCAATGGAGCCATCGGAGAAGATCATTGATTACGTTAATAGAGCCAAGAGCTACAACGACGATCTCACGGCAATGGGGGCGCTGTAATCTGAAAAAAACATGATGAGTTACATAATCAGTGGCCTACCCAAGGAATGGACTGCAGAGATCGGAATACTTACCAGCAACACGCCCAAGGATATGACCCAGCTGCTCGAGACCCTCGAAGCGCTTGAGCTGGTCAAATATGACCTGAAAAGAACGGAAGCAGTGGCAACGGCAGCAGAGGTCAACAGGCCTGCAAATCTGAATGCAACTGCAACACCAAGAGATTTTGGCAACTGCTACAACCGCGGGAAGAAGGGGCACAAAGCTGCCGACTGTTATTCCAACCTCAATGGAAGAAACTACAAAGGGAAAGGACAGTGGCAATAAAACAACGATGCAATGCGTGGAGAAGGCTACAAGGCAAGCGGAGGTTTCAATGGAAATTGCAACCATTGCGGCAAATATGAGCACAAGACTTCCGATTGCTACAACAACCGATTTAGCAGAAATTTCCGAGGAAAGGAGCTGCAACAACAAAGGCCAGCAGCAGCAGTGAAGACAAACCTGATGGAGGCACCTGCAGCTGTGGAAGAAACGCCAAAGGTTGACGCCATCCTTGGAGGCGCCCACAAAGCCAACGTTGCTCGAGCATCCGAGGTGTGCCTGCTGTCAAAAGGGTGCAAGGAAACGGCTTGGTTTATGGACAGCGGGTGTACACAGCACATGACACACCGAGCTGATTGGCTATGCAACTACCGGGAATCCGGAGTACCTTATGTCCTACTCGGGGACGAAGGGAAACTTCAAGTACAAGGAGAAGTGGACCTGATCTTACAGAGTCCCTATGGGGAGCTGAAAATGGACAACGTTCTACTGGTGGAGAAGCTGTCCCTTAACCTTATCAGTCAAACGCAACTGGACAGCAGTGGCTGCAAGACCTTCAGTGACAATGGAAAGCTGTGGGTGTTTGGTCCCAACTGGAAACTGATAGCGGAAGGCGCACGGACTGAAGGACTCTACGAGATGAAGCTAAAGGAGCAAGATACTTGTAAGAACAAGCTTATCTATCAACCTGAACCTGAAGAAGGGAAAAAGGCCCGAGAAGAGCAACGTACCATGCTGGAAAATACTGCAGTGACTGAGCTGCAGCAGCTGAAGTTCCAAGTGGCAGCAGTGGCAGAAACTGTTGACATAAATCTCCTGCACAAGAGGATGGGGCATTCAAGCATTCAACGGATCAAGGAAATGATGAAGAAAGATATGGCAGCACGAGTGAAGGTGAATGATGCTGAGGAAACCCATACGAAGTGCGAATCATGTGTCGAAGGGAAAGCTACAAAGGCTCCCCATCCAAGACATGGACCGAAGGAGCCATATGGGGCAATGGAAGTGGTGGCAACGGATGTATGCGGTCCCATGAGGGTCACATCACGACATGGCAGCAGATACTTTGTCACGTTCATAGACATCGGCACAAGGCTCACATGGGTGACGGAAATCAAGGACAAAACTCAGGTTTTTCCGAGTTTCGTTGATTGGTTGGCGGAAGCTGAATGGCAAAGCGGCAAGCAGCTGAAAGTACTTCGAACGCACAATGGTGGGGAATTCATCAACAAAGATTTCACGGACTACCTGAAGGCCAAAGGAATAAGACGGCAACGTACCATTCCCCACACCCCTCAACACAACAGTATTGCGGAGCGGGTGAACAGGACGCTACTCAACAGCGTGCGGAGCATGATGGCGGACAGCAAGTTACCACTGACCTACTGGGGGGATGCGTTGGGCATGGCCTGCTGGCTGAAAAATCGCCTACCGACGAAGGGACTTGTAGCGGACCTGACACCTCACGAGGCATTCTACAAACAGAAGCCAAACCTGAAGTTTCTTTGGGTATGGGGCTGTATGACGCAGTACAGGCCCCCTGCTGGAGCTGATCACAAACTTCTGCCAAGGGCAAGGTGGGGGGTGCACTTGGGAACATGTCCAGAGAGCAAGGGCTGGATCATCAAGGACGTGGAGACCGGGATAGTACTGGCGACCAGAGATGTGACATTCTACGAAAAACTCAACTACGTGGACTGGAAGTCAAGCAACAAGGGCGAAACTCTAGGGACAGCACCTGCCACACCTCAACGAGCGGAGGAACTACTTGAAGATGACCAAAACGAAGGCTTGGGGACAGCAAACGACGAAGGGGAAGAATATGAGGAGGAACATACCCAAGCTGGAGTGGATTGGGTGTGGGAGCCAACTGCGGAGACGCTCGCCAACGGAGACATGGAAGCGACTCCTACAACTCTACCTCTGCAACGATCAGCTAGCGACACACATAAAAACATGGGAGGGAATGAAGCTGAAAGTGTAGGTCAGCCAAGTACTGAGGGCAAAAGCGACCCGTGGGAGTTCTTCGAGTCAAACAACAACGACCAAGGAGCAGCAGAAATTGACAGCTTACTGCAGGAAGGAGCTATTCTTATTGGGAGAGAAGAAGGAGGCTCAAGCACAGAGAAAATAGGGGAGATGGCAGCAGACACGAGTGCAAGTGATGCTTCGGTGAAAGGAGAGGAGCTAGGAAGAGGGATGCGGATGAAGAAGCCGAATCCGAAATACCAACAGGTCCTGATGACATGCTGGAAAGACGTGCACACTCACCTCCTCCTCACCTCAACAGCGACAGCGTTGATTACCAAGGAAAGGAGAGAGACTTACAATCTGCCGCAGGAACCCTTGAGCATCGAGGAAGCACTCTCTGGACCATACAAGGAGCAGTGGAAAGCAGCTATACAAGAAGAGTTGGACACTCTCGCGGAAAGAGGCACTTGGAAACTCGTCCAAATGCCCAAAGGGAGGCATGCCGTTGGCATCAAGTGGATTTTCAAGATCAAAACAGGGGATAAGGGGCAGCTGAAGAGGTTCAAAGCACGGCTGGTGGCAAAAGGTTACACGCAAGTGGAGGGGATCGACTACACGGAGACATATGCCCCTGTCAGCAAATTGACTACAGTAGGGACACTCTTCAAGATTGTGGCAGCACGCAACTACATCATGGTTCAACTTGACATCAAGAACGCTTTCCTCTACAGAGAACTCCAAGAAGACATCTACATGGACCAGCCTA